CCCGTATTTTTCGCATGACAGCCTATTGCAACCTTACTGCAAGGAAAGTGTTTCCCGGGGGCAGCAGATGGCACTTCTGTGTTAGACTGGGGAGATTCATAATTTGCATTTTCGACGATGCTTCCTCGTGCTTCCCTCAATGCCTCTCAGCAAATGCTAGGATAGGCTCTTGAAACAGGTCGTTACGACTGTTTACAGATCCTCCCCAAATAACCTGATAATTCTACGGTAAACATCGTGTCACTTGGCAGAGGGTTAGACCGGACCGCAAGCAGGACTTTGCCTTGCTATTAACACCATTCATTTGTGAATGTACCCGACACATTAATTCTCTAATTCATTTTTCAATCCTGGTCCCCCGAGATGATGCCATATTTGGTTCCATATTGCCAACATTACGACCAAACCTCGTAACGGCCTTCGCCAGTCTCAAGCGGAACCTCCAGCGGTACTCTGTTCGAGTCCCGAGACAGGCAATATTCTAGTCACTGAAATTTTCAGTAATTTTTACAGTGACTCTGTAAATACCCAGACAGTCCACATTCCTTACTCTTATACTTCAGAGCACTTATTCATCCTGTCTCGTCTTTCGCAGTTAGCGTTTCCATTTGCGACAGATTCGTTAAATCAGAAAGAATCACTCAGCACGTCAAGTGACAACTCGGTCACGTGACCACATATCGTCAGGTTCCGAGGCCCGGTAATTGTAAAAGCAAGGAACGTGTTCAAAGTAAAGAGAGGTGCAACTCTGATATTAGCCTGGAGAGACTGAGTAAAACTGAGATAAACTCATATAACAATAACTTGTCCCAGCAGGGACTGAACTCTGTGTCTCCAGGAAAGGACGCACGTTTGTGTAGATTATAAAAGGTTCTGACAATGGTGTGTAACACTCAGAATTGCTAGGTTCTTTGACTTTGTCCGGTATTCTAAAAATTGACGAACACTTGTCCAGTGAGCAGGCCCAGCAGAACAGGTGTCTCTCATTCACCTGAGGATGGAAACAGGTCCAGTATCCGAAACGCTGCGTTCTCTAGCTTTCTACAATACCGGACGATGGACAACGTCCCCAAACCCTGTAATCCTAATGCATTTTCGCGTTTCACTGTATGAACACAGAACAAAACTTGGCAAAGTGAGAACAGTGGGGTGCAAACAGCAACAACAGTTCAACTTGCTGTCATGCAGCCCCAGTCACCCGTCACAGGCGTAAGGATCACAACATACAGAACTGCGGCTGTGAGACCGCAGCGCCAAGGAAAGCTTCTGCATCTTAGAATGAGGGGGAATACAATTAAACACAAAAGAACCTCGTGAATTCTACCCTCCAGTGCTGTGACTGCTAAATCGAGAAGGATGAATTGGGCAGGACATGTAGTATGAATGTGGAAGATAAAAATGTTCATACAAAACCTTGGTTGCCTTAGTACTTCGGTTTCCCCTGCCAATTCTCACTCCACGAACTGCTCGACATTCATCAAGCGTTCTATCATCGACGTTATATAGCGTCGTTAAACAGCCACCTTAAGAAAACCTGGTAGAGGTAGGCGTAAAGGGAGGATAATATTAAAATGGATCTTTGAGAAAGAGGATATAGAATATTGGGCAGAATTAGCATGGAGCACTGTGGCCCAACACAGCGTGATACGTTTGGATTACGTGAAGTCTTAGCAGCTGATGAGACAGCATGTACAGTGCTCAAGGGAATCGACCGCTGTACCGCTGTATCAGCTGCCCACAGCGCGTTCTGCTAAAGTACGCAGCAAATTACTTGTTTAAGTTATTTAACGACGCTGTTCCAATTGCACTGAATGATCTGAGGAGACAAGGAACGCTCTGGAATAAGCCGGACCAGACCATTGCAAGGCATTGCCCTACCGCGAGGCTGCAGAAACTGAGGAGAACCACGAGACTCGATGGCCGGTAAACAAACGGATATTAGAACTTTGTACCTAAAAATGTAAGGCTAGAATATTATAGCAGGATAAACTTGGCCAGTGAACGGTCAGACAATTCTACAAATTAGGAGCTGCAGCAGAGGAAACCCTCGCTAATCCGGATTAATTGGGGGGGGGGAGGGAGCCGGATTACTGAAGCAAAAGACAGCCCTAAAAGACGAAAAAAATCGAAAACAAATAAAGGAAAAACGTAATAAATGCTGACAGCGGTGATGTAAATAGAAAATGTATCACTGCAACAATTCCTGCCGCGTAAGAAGCTGAAATCCAGGGTCTCCTTCATGCAGCTGAAGCCAATCTTGGGTATATTTGCTTGCGCAGTTTCAATCTCTCCAGCTGCCCTCAAGCTGCAAAGAGCGGTCGAGGTCACAAATATTTTGTACACCCACGTGAGATAAAGTCAACATCAGATGGCCAAGGCAAACTGACAAACTAATAACGCGCCTGTTCCTCAAGACTGCAAGAGGAGGGGGAAGAAATTGGTTTCTGAAACAAGGGATTCCATGCGCAGTTCGACAGCCGGATTGTGCAGTGATTGATGGGCCCGGTGCCAGCTGGCGAGCCTTCTCAGTCCGTACCGTAAGAAAAGCGTCTCTTGTTCCTGCATACACACGCCGAACTCGCGAGGTTAACTTTGTGGAGAGAACAGGGAATAGAGACATTTTGTTCAGTTTTATGGGGACAGACAGACAGACAGATACAAGCATATATATATATATATATATATATA